AAGTTTAAATCCAAGGATTATTTCAATTCGTACGAATAACTTACTCAGAAATTATGTAAAATGGCAGTGCTTTACTTTGCTAGCGCATTCTCATTAGAATTCATGAATTTAACCCTTGACTTTGCCTTTTCTATATTTTTGCCTTCGAGTAATTGCATCCTAATTGACTTAATTTCCACGAATTGCCTTAGGGCATAAAATTGAACTATCTGGTAAAACTCCTATGTAATTATATGGCTGTGTTGAAAGAAACAATCAGTCTGATAAGAAATGGCTGCAACCTGCTTTGAAAATGAGGCATAAAAAATTATTCCGTTTGGTTTTGGTTGTACCATTATTGGCAACTTTATCGCCTGCGCCGGCAAAGCGGAAAAGTACCCATTTTGCTTCCATGTCACGTCTGATATGGCAGACCCATGGTGGGAAACTGCATATCATACATGATACATTGGAAATGAATAGGTTAAAAGCCAAAGAATGTCACACCAAATATTGAAATATATTAATACTGCTTAAAATATAATTCAATATATGCTTTTTATATGTTATTCCGATTAAGAGTAATATATACTTTAGCAAACAAATCTTTCAGAAATCCATAATAATATGCACAAAGACTATATAATAAATTTGTTTGTAACATAAATTTTAAATTATTCATTACATTCCTGAAAAGTTTATTTTAATTTTTACATTTTCTGTTTCTGCAGAGTTATTACAATAGACTAGATTTAATAACAAAGATGGATAGTTGCAGCAATAATAAAAGATTACAATTTCAATTATAATGATAACAAAACTGATGAGAGAGACTTTTGTTAATGCTCAACAACCACTAAATTGTTGACCTTAAAATGTACATGATACTAAAAAGAAAAACAAATGATAATAATGATGCTATGTGTCAATGTTTAGTGGGAAAAGATGATTGCTTGATTAACATTTCATTATCACAGACTATTTAAAACATATTAACACGTCTAAGCTGAAAGTAGTATGGTACATTAAAAATCCTGAATGACAGGAGTAATTTTTTATAAGCTCTAAATTCTCTTAATCATGTTAAAACAATTAGGTCATAATTTAAGAACTATTAGGACAATTGATTTACTAATGAAATTAGAACCGTTTTAGGAACTAAATGATGCATTATTTTTAAAAAAAGAATAATGTATTCTCTTTATGCATAAGATCTATTTTCTTTATTTTAAAATTGCTGTCATTTACTATATTTGAAATTATATAATATTTCACTTCCTGAGACTTTTTGGCTCTATTATTCTTTATTATCAATTTAAAATTTTATTAATCTAACATAATTAATAAATTGATATATCACATTTCTATATTATTATTTTTCTTTAGCAGACTCAAGAGTTTTCAACAGAATAAACTCATTATGCAACTGCTACCACTAACAGATATCTTTTCAAAGATGGTTAATTTCCACGGAGGACTGATATTGTCAGCAATCACAGGTGGTTGTCTTATAGAAGTTTAATTGTACATGTATATATGCACATCAACAAAAATATATTTTATATATTCTAAAAATCTTTTACTTTTTGATTATCCAAACATTTAAAGAAACTTACTTTTCCTTTTGATTAGAAGCTAAAGTGGCCAATGTTTTTTGCGACTTCGTTTTGTAAATACAGGGGAAAAAAAAGAGAGGAAAAGGGGGGGAAGGTATGTCACGGGACAAGAGGGTTATGAATATTTTGATATAGTTTTGAATATTTCAAATTAGAAAAACCATCATATTTAAATAAAAAAATACCAGAAAAAATAAAAATAAAGAAAACACACAAAATCAAATAATTTCTTTTCAAGTTTTTCATTAAAACAAGAAGCATATAAGAATTTATAAGGTACTTTCTCCTTCCTTTCCACACGCCTAAATGGTGTAACTGGAAGCACAGTCTTTGCATATTCGGGAGGTCTGGAATCCCATTGAGGGCATTGCACATTTTTCATGTTTCCTCCTTCAAAATAACCTAATGGTGGTGCCCAAACGTGGTGGACAATAATTGGACACTACCAGAATTTGGTGATTGGGTCCCCTCATGCCCAGTCGGCCTTTAAAAAGGGAAGTATCTACGTTAATTTCTCCTTCCTTTTCGCATGCGTTCGTGGTGCAATTGAAAGCACACGTGACACATATTTGGAAGGTTTGGAGTTCGAAACCCAGCAAGGGCACTGCATATTTTTCATTTCTCCAGCATAAAAAAAACCTAATGGCTCTAAAAGTTTCATTGTTTAAAACTTGAGAATGTTTATGTCTGTCCCTCCCCCCCAAAAAAATTATACATAATCTTGATCAAATTATATATTTTCTGCACAGTTAGACAATTTTGTTATTTTAAAAATGTCAAATAATTTCCTCCTAATACTAAACAGAAAATACGTTTTCAATGTTCATGATCAGAATCTTCATAGGCAGGGTTTAAAGTACCGTCAATGATTTCATCATAAGTCATTTACTAATGTTCTTTGAATTCATCCAAATTCGTCACTGAATCCATAATGTTAACAAACTTTTATCACATAATATGTTTCAATGTTCATCATGGCAGAGGCTGGATTGAAAACGATGTCAATAATTTCATCAGAAATAATTTGATAGTGGTTTTTTAGTTTAAATTTCCCATCCAATCCATAATGTTGGCTTCTTGAAATACTAGTCCAATTTTTGTTTTTCCTCCCTTTGTCAGAAAGAAGCTACTTTAGCTCTTATTAGACTTATCCAAATTCAGAAAATTCACTTCTATCCTATTTGTCTTAGTAGAAAGTAAATATGCCTATGAGTTGTGCCACCCATTTATCAATGTGGACATGAAAACAAAATTCTAGGTTTCTGAAAGCAAATAAATGCAGTTTCTAGTCTCTTCACATACAGTCAGAAAGCTTAAGGGGTAAATTAGCATACTTTCCCATCAAAAGTTTAGATTTATACTTCCATTTAAAGTTTTGTTTTACCACAGTCTGAATAAAAATTGTTACATTAGAAGGATAAGATGGTTAAATAAGGCAAATAAATAATAGGAAATAAGACCCCTTAAAACATAGCTGGGAATTCATTTTGTTGAATCACCTGCACATAAAGCTTGCAGCATTTATTTCTCTCAGGTATAAAAAAAAAATATATATATATTTTACGTTCGCTGATTAAAAATAGTAAACACTCCCCCCCTTTTCCTTAAAAAAAAAAAAAAAAAAAAAAAAAAACTAATTCACTTAATTGCAAATTTCAGTTTACATTTGAAAGGATCAGAAAATTACAAATTGGCCAAATTTTGACCTTCTAATGTACAATTTTTAAACAACAGACCTTTATCAAGACTTAAAAATTCCTCTGTAAGTATAAGTAAACTTTCTTCAACAAAATCTTTGTCCCTTAATTCTTTCAAAGTTAGTTTGTTATGAAAAAATAGCCAGTTATACAACTTTTTAATAATAAACCATGAGAGTGATAAGAAGATAAAAATTATCAACAATACCTGTGGTCTTCTCGCCGCTTCAATTTCGAGGAAATACCACAAAATAATTTATTATATCAATTAACAGCTTAGAAAACTGTTTATAATTACAAATATATTTAATGTTTTCTTTAAACAAAAACTGTAAAATATTAAACTAAATCTGTTACAACTGATTTATTTGTATAGATTCAGCTACATTTACAAAGCATGAAATAATACTGCAAACACTCAATTTTTTAAATACAGTATCACTTTTTAACATCAAAAAGTAAAATTTTGTTTAATAGCATACTGACCTCTTTACATCACTTTTCTCTCAAACGAAAATGCCACATAAATTTCATTAATTCTTTTGAGATTTAACATCGAACAAATACTCTATCTCATTAGAAAAATAGCTTATTTAAGAAAAATAGTTATACAGTCAAAAGTCGTTAATTCGGACACCCATAATCCAGAATGATCTATAATCCGGACCTCAAAGCTACAAACTTTCTGCGCATGCGTCGCGTTTACGCATGCGCACAGGCGTTTACGAGAGCGCATAAGACCCTTACAGCTGCGAATATGTTTGTGCGCATGCGCGTTTAATGTGTAATGGAGTTATACGCTAAGCTAAAGTTATCTAATTCAGTTAATGTTGCAGATTGCATTGTTCCTTAATCTTCGAATTGGATCCGGCTTATTATTTTTTGCAGAGTGTTAGAGCAATTTTATAAAAGTAAGCTAGAACTTTCGATTATGTCAAATAGAATTTCCGATATATATTTACTACAAAGCGAAAGTATGTTTTGAAATCCGAAATCTGTTTATCAATTTCACGCTGCTCTGCGGCAGAGGGGGGGGGCAGAAACGTCATTATTAGATTATGATAGATTAGAAAGATTATGTCAAATAGAATTTCCGATATATATTTACTAATATGTAATTTGTATCTACAAAGCGAAAGTATGTTTTGAAATCCGAAATCTGTTTATCAATTTCATGCTGGGGATTGGAAGTTGATCTGTCAGCACTATCCTTATCTTCAGAGCAGATGTTTTTATTTTATTTGGTTTATAATTCCGTACTGAGTGTAGTATTTCATCTCGATATACTCTGTCTTTGATATGATTTAAATCAAGTTCCTCGTCATTATAATTCGCTTCTGATAGTGAAGAAAGTGACCCAGAGGTTATTGAAAACGAAAACATTTCGATTGACAAATTAGTCGGTATTCTCAACACAGCAATTATAGGACTTGAACAGCGGAACTTTGTAACTAAACAAGAAATTATGTCTGTTTAATAGAATTAAAGAGAAAGTATTATCACATGAAACGAAGCAACTTACATTGAAGGAAATGTTTAATAAAGTAAACAAATAAATAGTAAGCTTTTTCCTTTTTGTAAATTTTGATACCCTTTAGATCATAATTGGGTTTCATATTTTTAATTTTGTAATTTCTGCGTGCCATCTTACCAGATTTAACTGATGATCTATAATCCGGAAAAATCGATAATCCGGAATCGCCGAAGTCCTGACGAGTCCGGATTAACGACTTAATCCGGACTCGTCAGGACTATTAAATTGACTGTATTACAAAATTTTTTCTCTGAAGAAAATGTAGTTAGCAATTCTTAAAAGAGATATTTTTATAGTAATTAAACCTTATATCATTACTAAAAAAGCTATAAATTTATTCTAAAATGCTTTTCTAGTCTTCGGAGAGCTTTTTTGCTCAAGTTGCTTAATGTATCCAACTTGCTTGAATTATTTTCACTTTGCAGGTAAAATGCAGAATGTGAATCTGCATGTGTAGCAAAAAGGCTATAATTGGGTGACCTACATTGGAAAAAAAAAAGAGGAAAATTGCACAATCTCTTATTGAAAATACTTGTAACAAATATTAAAACTTAAATAATACTTAAAACTAATATTGAAACAAAGACTCAATTATTTCTTCTTTAATGTTTAATTTTTTTAGTGTTATACCACTTCCTTGAATCTTTCAACTAAATTACTAATAAGGAGGATTTCAAAATAATCGTTCAATGTTTTTCCTGCTAATTAGTTTTTAGTTACTATATGAAAATAACAAGTGTATGTGGCAGATTTTTTACTAATTGCATATGGTTTATAGAATTATGTTAATGTTTGAAATTCATGTGATATCATGAATTTTGAGAATAAATGAATTAAAGGAAAAACACAAAACTTAATTATGTACATGTAAATACTGGAAATACATTAGATGCATTAGATGTACAGTGAGTAGCTCCCAATCTAGATGACCGACTGAGAAAATGAACTTGCGTTTTTCATATATTGAAAACATGAATTGGAGTACATACTATAAAAGCCTGACTATCAGGCATTCAACTAGGGTCAATAATATAGAAGCGTAATGTCACAACAGAACCAAAAGATCTTTGTCTTAAGTTTTATGTAAACCAGATTCATTCTTGATACGCCAGTTTAGTTTTTGTAAAGAAAATATACTTTGACTGTTATTTATTTGCTTCTCCCCGCAGTCTGGAAAATGGTTATAATTTAGGATCTTCCTTCTATGGAACAACATAAAGTATTTTCGAAGTTACAGGATTCTGGCATCAAGAAAAATGTGTTTAAATGGAAATACTATACAACTTTATTTGAAAATGAATAAACAACAGCAATACAACGTGAAAAATGACTATATGTGATGCAAGTTTCTTATATGCTATATCTGTGACTTGAATTTTATGATTCTAATTAAATAGAGAAGGATATTTTTTCTTTAAGCTTCTACTGAAATGTAATGATGGAACAGAACTCTAGAGTGAAAACAAAGAAAATCACATACTTACAGAAGACAAATTGATTGAAGATAGGAGTCTGATAGAAAATCTTTTTGAATAACCTGAATGGATTCATTGGAATGTTTTCCTAAAAGTCCTCCATATGGGTAAGATGGATATTCTATAAACAAGAAAACAATAATTATAACAAAAACGGTAAATTAGTAAATTGAGATTTAAACAACATATAGATGTGAAAATTCAAGCTTATTAAAGCTAGAAATGTTAGAGGGGGGAAGCAACATATATATGTGTGTGATAAAAATTTTAGTGTATGATGCAGAAAATCATGATAGAGCTTGATGGCTTTACACAGTGAAACATTTCTGATGCAGTTATACCCAGTTGATATATCCTTATTTTGGGCTCAGCTTTATGGATATAAACATGAACATTCAGTGGTTCCCAAACTGTGCATCCTAGTGCCCTGGAGAGCCGCGTCCTCTTCACCGGGGCCTTGCAAAATACTGTAAAAGCTTCATAATGAATTGAGCCAAGATACGTGGCCTAACTAAACAGAAAACAAAGTAAGAAGCAAAAATATCTATATTTTTTATGAGGTTTGTTTTTACTTAACCTTGTATAAAAGTAAGGTCAACGGTGCAGAATATCCTTTTCATGTGGGCAGTAGAGGCTAATTTTTTGTGTATTCTGGAAATTTCTGGAAGTTTTGGGAAAACTCATTTTTAAAGCCCTAGGAGGATTTTTCCTGAAACTTCCAGAAGCTATGCAGCACCATATAAATATCATATCAACAGCCAGTAGTTAGTTGTTAATCAGCTCTAAAAATTTGCAGTTCAAAGAGAGTTAGCTGAATTGCATCACAGAGTTTACTTTGTTAGTGATTTGGGGAATTTTTGACATTTCTTCAAGAGAAATTGTTAAATATCCATATTATCCTTGAAGTATTTGCAGATATTCTTTTACAATAACTTGCCAATTTTTCTAATTAATCAGAGTGACAATAGAAAATGTGTGCTAGCTTTAAATTTTGAGATGATACAGTTCAGAAAAAATATTATTAACTATTTTCTGGATAGAAAGGAAAATAATGAAAGACTGGGGGCTATTAAAACTAGAGTTTGAATTATTTCTTCTCTCATACACAAGCATGCATACACACAGTTAAACAAGTTTAATAAATTACACACAATTGATGTTTTGCAACCAAATACACCAGAAACAAAGCAACACTCTTGTAAAAGTATGCGGGTAATTTTAATCTGACTTTTTTCATCTTTCCTAATTTTTATTTTTCTCAATATATATATGCAATTTTTGCAATTTTTTTATCATTTACAGTTTATTAATCACATCGTAATTCACTTGATGCATTAAACTTGCAGTTTTTTTTTTTTTTTTTTTTTTTTTTTTTTAAATCATCAAGTTATAAATATTGTGCTTGATCCAAAAGCTTTTTTGTCACACCATTCCCATTTGCAAACTTAAGATTTTAAAATATTTTTTGTGATTTGTAAAGTTTTATAAAATCAAAAAATCTAGTGCAATATTTATTTCTAAGGACTAAATGTGATTCCCACTTGGATTTGGATCCTTCTATCCTGTGGAGGAAGGGGGACACATTTTTGAATGGTAATCTGAATGTAATAATTATCATTAATTCTGGCCTACCCATTAACAATTGTACTACAGATTGAATTCCTGGTGATGCAATATATTCATTATAGGCACATTTTTGTGATTTTTACCATATGTATTAATCCGCTTCTTTCACAAAATCCTTCATAGCTAAATATAGTGAAATATCGAACTCCTAAATGTCTACATTAGGTAAAGTTTACAATTGGGTGCCCCTTGATATTTTTGGCATTTTTTTGACACCAAGAAGTAATGTTCCCAAGATGGCTATCGCCCAAAACAACATGAAAAACATAAGTTGCAAAACTAACAAAAGTACTCATTGCATTTGTTCTTCGCGACATCTCATTGTCAGTATTGGATGACTGCAGCACATACCATTTCTTTATGCAATTAATATAATCCCAGAACGGATCCTTCTCTTCCTGATCACAGTACTGGTGATGATCCTTACACTTGAACAAATGCATGTCTTTCGTAAAATTGGAACATTCCTACTGAGAACCAATTAAAACTTCAATCATACACAATCAATAATACCTTTCTCACCCTTTTGCTCTAAATCATAGAGGGAAAAAAAAACAAATATTTATACTGCCAGACACATTTTTTTGCTGTGATGATCAAACAATGATTAATTAGAAACAGCCAGCTAATGAAAACCAACAGTCAATAAATGGCAGTTACAATTCCAACAATTCAAAATACATGAAAATTCAAAATATGTGATTTGTAGAACATGATACATGCACTACAAATCACGTAATCCTCGATCACTAAACTAAGAGTCCAATCAGATAAAACTTAAAAAAAAAAAAAAAAAAAAAAAAAAAAAAAAAAAACGCCACATAACAAATAAATGGTTGCCATAACATTGAGGAAATAGACTTGATTGTAGGTTACCAGAACACCGGTATCAGCATTGATAATTGGCACTCATTTATGGGGCACCCTTTTCTACACTAGAGTCCTACATTATTTAATTACAATGACATATTACATAAGCCAGTTTTAGATCAAGAGAGTTACAGGCTTGATATTAAAAAAAATAGTTTACCTTTTAGAACCTTCAGTGAATGATTGTAGAGCAACGTAAGAAACAGAGGCTCTGTTTCATAAAAATTTTCACCAATATTTTTCTCTGCACTGGTTTCTAAATCTCGAAGTATCGTGAAACCACAATTCCACTAAAATAAAGGATCAAAAATCAATTTCAATTCTTGATATGGATAATAATCAAAATTACAGGAGCTGGGTAATGAAACTGAAATATTTGCAACTGCAGTATAATACTTTATTGCAGGCCTTGTTATGGAAGTCAATATTATTGCTATTTATTTTAGAAAAGATAAATATAACTGTTATCCAATTGTTAAAGATATTTTCAACTGTTACTCTTGCAAAGCTGTTCACTTTAAAATGGACAAAGAGGAAAACATTTCATGACTTCTCAAATAATATACACAGGCTAAATAGTGTTGAAATCAGGGGATTGTTCAGAGAGTGGGAAAAGTTTAAGCTCATTTCATATTCTTCAAATCATTCTGTCACCAATTTTGCAATGCAGGCTGGTGCATTGTCATCTTGATACAGAGCATGTTCCTTGGGATACAAACAAATGGACAGACTTTGCTCAAAAATCGTCCAAACATGTAACCATTACGAACAATAATTTCTAATCACAAAAACTTCCATGCCACTGCATTCCAAACCATAATTAGTTTACCAATGGCATCAGAGAGTCTCATCATGTGCATCTAAAGACATTCACATATACACCCTTTAAAAACTCGAAAAGATGGTGATCATGGATTAATTGCTGAAGAATGTAAATTTTTCATTATAAACTGTCCACGTATCACATTTCTGACTGGCACTTCTTTATAGCCAATATATAATATGAGTGCTGGCTATCAGTTACTTTGCTATGGCTCTCTGACCATGAATATTAGCTCTATGAGGATCCTGATAAGCAACTTTATTAGTAATAGGTAAATTTGAAAGTATGTTAAGTTCTGCTATCCTTTGAGTAATCTTTTATCTTTTTGAGTAATTTTTACACACTAACATTCTTTTGGGGTAACTTCTTATCATACCTGTTGTCTTGGCAACAGATAAACCAACCAAAAAATACTAACAGTTTGTTCATTTTTTAACTCCTGCTATCTCCCATTTATTTTTAATAATTATCATTGTTTGAAGTTAGTTTGTCTGATATGACGAAGAATTCAAATATAAAATTTGCTGTTGTTGACAAAATTTGAAATCATTCAGAGTTCCCAACTAGAAGTACACACATTCACTTTGGGGGTATTATTTTGCAGACTCACTTTGGAGCCAAGCGTTTCAGTTTCATTGTCCAACTCCTGAACATCTGCTCATATGATTGACATGCTGTGAAAGTGAAGAAAAGAAGAATTTATGTTATTTTTACAATTTATATACATAAAATCTAATCACTTAATTATTAAGAGAAAATGTTATTAAGGAAGTAAAAATTTTCAGAAAAGTTCTGAAACTATTTACACTACTGTAAAGTGATTAAAAAATCCTTAAAACAACATATCTGACATAAAACAATCTGACATAAAAAAAAAAAAAAGAAAAAGAAAGAAAGAAAGAAAGAAAGAAAGAAAGAAAAAAGAAAAGAAAAAAGAGGGGAATTTTTACAATAGAAAAAGGGGTCGTAAACGGCAACTCCTAGATGGAACTTTTTACAAGTGAGTCAGTTGAACTTGTATTGCATGCAGGATCATTCGAGGTGTGAACATTTCCGATATAGGATAAAAAACTACAATGATACAGAGATAGCAGAGATGCACTTCATTTATGGGGAAGCAAAAGGAAACAGCAGCATAGCACAGCTTTTATATTGACTATGCCTTTCAAACCTACAGCTGCTCCCTCATCACAAGTCTGGGTGTTTGCTCCAATTATGCACAACAAGGACATCTGAAATAAATAGATGTTGCAGTTGAGACTGAAAAACATGTACACTTGTTACAGAAGAAGTGATCATACGTAACCCAAGTACATGAATAATTTTTTGTAATCTGGGCATGTTGCAATTCTGAATGCTTCACATATGCACAATTTGTCTTTAAACCTTTACCGTGTTCAACATGTCCCATTACTTGGAGCAAGAGTCTTGCCCTGCAATTTGCAGTTTGATTTTTGCATAAAGCTGCAATTCAGGCTGATTTTCCACCCTGGGTTTGTTTGATGAATGAAGCCATATTTTCAAAGGATGATGTTGTGAATGTACACACAAATGGCACATGTGAATATATGAAAACCCATGTGCAACAGGGCTATATGGTGTTTAATAAAGATTTACTATAACTGTTTGGGCAGAAATTATAGACTGTTTGCTAAGCCCATATCTTCTCTCAGGACTCTAGGGAAGAACATATCAGATACGTTTTGGGGATATTCCACAGAGTTAATCCATGACATCCTGGCAGGCATTCACCATAGTATGTGGTTTTAGCACAGCAAGAAGTATGCCAATTCCAGTCAAATTGAGCAGTATTATCACAATGCGACCTATTCAGCGAAGTGAATAGAGGTGGTCCGGACATGGGACCTCCACAATTCCCTTGACATGGGACTTGCTCCTTTTCTGATTATTTCATGTCGCGTTATATGAAGAATCTCATACACATAACCCGTTACATCTGAAAGAAACATCACTGCAAAAGTCACTGAAGCAACTGCATGGATCAGGTAAGATAACTGGCATCTTCAAAAATGTAAATGTCCATGCATCAATGTTGGAAAGCATTTATTGATACAGATGGCAAATTCTTTAAATATAGATTTTAAGTACTAAAAAGGTTTGTTTTTGATATTGTAAGTGTGACACCGCACACTACTTGTCACTGTGTTTGAACATACATACTTGTATTATATGTATGTAGTTACGCTAATGTAAACTTATATTCCATTAAATCTATGTTGCACACTTTATCTAATATCTTTTTCTTTTAATTAATTCACTAGAAAACAGCACCTTCTTGATAAATCTTGACACCTTTATGGCTCCATCTTTTCTTGTAAAAGTGAGTTATTTTTGTATGCCTGATCTATCCTTAAAGTTTGTTTAATGAATATTGAATAATCCAGAAATATGCCAAAAATCAGAGCTATTTAAATATTTTCTTTTTCTTTAAAAAATTATTGACACTAAATATACTTTGGATTCATCAAGATCTTGAAAATAGCAAAGTACTAATAATTACAATATATGACAAGCAGCAAAGTTAGTTTTATAAAACTTATTTTTAAAAAAATTGACGTAAGCCATTTTTGCTGAGCACTTTTATACCACTAAAGTTATATTAAAATTTTTTTCATATATATATATTCCTACACATAATTCTAAAGATGAGTATGATCTTACTGATTTCAAATTTTTAACGACATTATGTTAGTGACAGCAATATTCATACAAAATCCATCACATATACATTAATTATTGTTGCATGAAACAAGGCATATCACCCTAGGTATCTCAAATTTTGCACAACCTCCTAAGTGTAAACATAAAAATATCTTAGTTGAAATTTGTAAACTTTTGATTAACATACTTGCCAACTTCATAAGAATAAAAATCAAAAGATTTTTGAAAAACTAAATTAAACAATTACATAAAGAAGGAAATTACGTACCATAAAAAACAGAAAATTAGACAAATGAAACTAATTGTTACACATTCACTGTATCATTTTTTTCTTTAATATTTTGCTAAAATATAGTTAGGAAACTCCACTTTATATCATTTACTATGTTATTCAAATTTCAGAATCACTTTATTTAATAGTCCCCAAAATCAAAGGTAAACAAAAAGAAATAAAAAATGTTATATCTAAAGTTTAAAAATTAATTCAAATAGCAACTTGAATGTGCGCTAAGAACTCTTGCAACAAGTATAATTTTTGGTACTTTAACAATTATTTCAAATTTGTGGATAAGGTTATGAGATTAGCTGTGTTTTCATAAAAATTATGAAAAATTCTTGTATTGTATTAAAGGTCAAAACCTTCCATTCTCAAGCAAAACAAAAATATAATTTCATGAAACAGCTCAAATAAAAAACATGTGTAAATTCCAAGTAATATAACTTTGGTATAAAAGACATGTATTTTATAATCTTACCAAATAATTCAAAACTTTTTCATCATAACTCTTGTTTAGAAGTAAAAGAAGAGTGCTGCCACCACATCTTTGGACATAAAGAACAGTTTTTTGCAATTCATTGTTTTCTATATCATCACATTTTTTTTCATTGTCTGGTGAAGCAAAAGATAAATATTTTTTTGCTTTATGTGATACTGCATCTAATAGATCATAATTTTCACAAGAATATTTTCTTTCTTCATGAGCTCCATTACTGTGCTTTGTTCTATAACGAGGAAAATTTTCACTTTTGGATCTACATCTTAAAACTTGTAATCTACAATTTTTAGTTTTATTTTCTTTTTGTGAAGCATCACATGTGGTATTTGAATGTTTCAAAAACAACTTCATTGTCTGCTGAAATGTAGGTACCTGACTCACCAGAGGTGATAAATGCAATTCTGAATCCCATTGCTTTAAAGTGAAAGAATTAGCTGTGAGAGATGTATAATAGCCAAGGCACAAAGGACAGCTAAATTCCAAATCACAATAACTAATTATATTCAAATGTTTCACTTTAGATTTAGACACAAAGCTCTTTGCACAAATAGATGCATGACGGTAACAAAGTACGCTGGCAGGAGAAGCTGAAAAAAAGTTATAAAATGAGAAATATTTTTATAAATTCATTAATCAAATGCATAAAATGTATATTTTGTTTAAAATGAATATTTGCCCAATAAGGGGAAAAAGTGTACTATAATATAATATATAATTTATTTTTATAATTTAATGTCTTAAAGCATCTCAGAACGAAAAAATAGCTAGTACATATGAGGTTTTACCAATTAGAATTGATAATTCTATTATCAACTAATTTATTTCTATAAAATATTGATATTTTTAATCATTAGCTTCTTGAATATTTTTAAATCATATAAATGGATGATAATGCTTTTATTCCTCATAAAAGGATTCATTTGGAGAGACTCATCAATGACAGAAATATTTAAGAAATTTGTCATTAGACATCGTACACAAACTAAAATTTAAAACACATTTTTATTTTTAGATTTTTCTGGGTACCTGTTGGTTATCAACAACCAGACCTTCAGTCAAAAACCACCAAAATGGTGATAAAATGCCATATTTGGCTACCTTTATCTCCAAAGCATGCATTTGATAACAGCCAACTCATGCATTCTATGCATATGGAAATTCGCTAAGAATTAACAGAACAGTACCTATGATTTGTAAAGTTAGCTAACAAACATTTCAGTAATTTGCGAAGTCATTAATGTATGGGTAACTTTTCCTGGGAGTGTGGATGATAAAAAAATATCGAAATTTTTTCCCATTACATTCTCATATGAATAATTTACACGAGTTTTAAGTTAAATTTGAGATTCTTTCCCCCCCACGCTCACTAATTTTCATGCTTAAAAATTAACCCTTGCTTTAAGCATACTCATTTTCATGCTTAAAGCAAGGATGCATCCTCACAAGTTACAAATTGTATGTTTTTTCTCCTATTGAATGAAACAAATGAGAATGATTTCTGAATAAACATTTCCCCTTCCCCAAGATTCTGCAGCCATGATAAGCAGTGGAAATATATATAACATAAAAGTGGAAATTCTCTGGAACCTTTTCCTTAAACGAAAAAGGATCAAAGTATAAACTTTTTTTAATAGTGAAGTCTTCCTCTTTATCCTCACATTCAGATTAGCTTTTGGAATTTCAATATGACTGGTGTTTTCAGTCATCTGAAAAATTAAGTTATCAGAATTACCTTTGAATAGTATAGGGATAAAGGAATAATTGCTTCAAAATACAAATGATCGATTTACAAGTGTGATAGAAAATTTGCAGAGCATAAAGAATTATCATCATAGAGTTTCAGATTTGTTTAGCTCCTACTTAGGTGAATTTGAACTGCACAGGAAATACAGAAACAATATGGGATCCTTTACTACTGTGTTTTCACAGTGCATTAGAATTACACACAAACCACAATCTGAAAATTAGGAAGCAAACTACATGCAAGTCTTAATTTATATTTATTTCATTTTTTTAATTTCACTGAACTGTTGCTCCATGATGCTATTAACCACTCGCGCTAAAATGTTGAGATGCTTTTGTCTCAAACCGCGCACAAAAATGAAAATAACGTGGTGCACACGTCGCCTAACAACGAGATTGTTTATTTCTCGAGTTACAGCTCTGGATTGCACTCGCAGACCCGGAGCGGCATAAATGGGACACTTTACCACTTGTTATATTGTTATATTGTACAAACAGCACCACAACCGTGAAATTTAGTCGTAGCACAAGTGGTTAACACTCAGCACATACAGCAGTTTATTACCTGGGCATTACACCCTTTACATGAAACAATCTCTGAGAGATAGTCAACACAGGCACAGCTCTCACAGTTTAGCATTCGAGAAGCTCAATGCATCCTCCATGCTTGACAAAATTGACAATAAGACATCCCGCAATGTGGGCCACCACTCCGGTTGCATGGATCAGCTGTAACAAAGAAATACCTTGCGACTCGTGCACCACTCTAGTCACAAAAAAAAAAAAAAAAAAAAAAAGGATAGAAAACAGTATTTGTATTTTTGTATTATAAATACAGTTGGCATAAGGTGGCGAACCAACCGAGAACTGGGCAAAACCAAACCCACGAAGACTGCCACAACCATCCATGGTGTTATTAATGAGCAACCATTTTAAAAATTATCTTGATTAAAATTCATATTAATTATTTTTAATAATTTTAAAAGTTATTAAAAATAATTTTTATTTTACGCTTGGCACAACAGTTGTTGTGTACATACTGGTGACCATCTGTTTCTTGTTCAAGCTAAAAGTGCTAATTCCTATTTCATGCAAAGAACAATTATGATAGACAAGTACTTTTTTTGTTTTCAAAATTTAAATATAATAACAGTAAATCTCTCATTTCAATCAATAAAAGTGAATTTTCAATGAAGTAGAATAAATCATTTCAGTCAATATTAGGAATGATATAGTCCCTCTGCTAATATGAATACATGAATTTATGCAATTTGCAACGCTTCTTTGTTAAAGAGGTCTCTGAATAAGCCTTTGGTGATATTTGAAATATTCATGTTACACACTGGGCAATTAAGTTTGTTAGTTTCTGCATTTAAGCTAATTATTAAAATTAATGACTGCAATCATAAAAAATCATAAAATTAAAATAGTCATAAAATTCAATCAAAAAATGCAAATCATAAAAAATTTAAAAGAATATTTTCTTTACATTTCAGTGTTTTAAAATACACAAAGGATAAGTAATAAATCTCGAAATTTTTATTAAAATTTAGAAAGAGAAAAAAAAAATAACTTTCAACTAATTTTTGCTATGCATTGAAAATTTAAACAAATTATTAACATTATTTAAAATTTGGTTAAAAAAAAAAAACTAAATAACACAATTTGAATGCTATTTGGGGGGGGTGAAGTAACTTGTAAATTCATTGCCATTTTTTATACTCAAATTAAAAAAACAACAAAGAATAATAATATCAAAATTAATATATATGTATATAATTGTTCTTAGTCTACTAAAAAAGTTTTAAACTAACTATACATAAAAAATAAACAATCCATTCATCTTTTTCATTAGTAATTAATGCAAAATATATATACAGTACAAAGCTTGAGATCTGGAATTGTCAGGACTACGATTCTAGATTTCGGAAATTTCCTGATTTCAAATCATCAGTTTAAACTTAGCAATATGAAAAGTAGATATGGCAACATTGGGGCTTCATCTGTTGCTTAGGTTGAACAGAAGAATGCTATCCACACACACAGAGCAGGCACCAGAGCAGGTCCAAACAGTGTGACTCCATCAGATGGATAGCAAACATTTTAGAATTTAGAGGAGCACCAAGCAGCAAAAATTAGGGATGAGAAAAGTTTTAGAATTTAGGAGAGATACTAGGAAGTAGAATTTAGGGAGGTACAGAGCACCAGAATTTTGGAATACAAAGATTGCACCAGGCAGCAAAGAGTGTAGTGTTGGCTCTGCCTGTCTTCCCCACCACACACAACCACTTAAATGCTGAAAGTGTGATCTTGGGTAATGTCAATACTATGCCAATTAACACGTTATTGTCCAGGGTGTGACAATCTAGTCAGCAGGTGTTTGAAAGTGAAATGCAGGAATTGTAATTAGTCTGGAGAAAAATTGTATTTACAGCACTCACTTATTTTTTTGGCTGGTGGTTTGGAAGTGATCATTCTGGATCATGGACATCCAGATTTCGAACTTTGTACTGTAATATAAACTACACTAGAAATATAATCATAATAATAAAGACTAGAAAAATATTACACCTCCTTAAGAATTGCATATACAAAGGAGAACTACTAGTAGAATACACATGGGAGATTAAAAATATAACTTTGTATTAAATTTTATGAAAGTATGCAATATTGCACAACACTTTTTAAATGATTAGATAAAAATTATTTTTTAACTTATGTTATGATTTTTAAGAAAATATGAACTTATATATCACAATATCATGAGATAAAGACAAAATCATGGTATAAACTTCTTACACTTGTATTATGACTTCTCAACAAATATGAATTTAAACTTATTTTTTACATTTTTTTATTAATTTTAATTTCTGTTATCTGTGCATACTTACAGCAATATTACTTAAAATATAACTTTTTATCAAGCCTAAAATTTTTGTTAACAATTAAATTTATATTAACATGCAAATATTTATGCAAATACACTTTTAGCACAAAGGGGCAATTTGCCCAGAAGGGCTATTAATTTCATTTTGGCATTTTGCATTGTCCACTATAAAACAGTATTTCACTTTTCAAATTGCTACCCTCAAATATTAGAGCCCTGCATTATAGTTAAAGAAATTAAATAATGAAGAATCTGCAGGAACGTATGTATGCTTCTCGCATTGTGAAAAAATAACAGTACCTAGTTACATCAAATTTTGAATAACACAGTCCTCCACTCAAATATGGGTATCTGGAAACCCAAATCTGGAATTTATTTTATTATCTATTTCGTATTTTGTAAAACTTTAATAAATTTTTAATTAAAAAACTTAACAATTTCAAAGCAAGCAATGGCAACATTGTGCGGAGGGAGGGATTTTGTTTTATCTACATTACGCGAGTCTGTGTATCGGAAATTCTAAAGATATATTCATTTTAAAATTATTTTGTGATATTGTTATTGAACTGAACTTCATGGTTTAAGTGCGAAGAACATATTTAATAAATAAAGATAACACACAAAATGTTTATAAAAAAAAAAAAAAAAAACCACCTCTCCTTTGTGTGCAATATAAAATCAAAAAGCAGATTTTTTTTAATTATTATTTTACTAAACATTTATTTAGAAAATACCTAAATATTACTCACCTATAATGACACAGTTAGTTTTATTTTTCACTGCAGATCTACTAATTATTTCTAATTTAGTTTGGAAATTATTTTTTTCATTAAAGTGTTTGATAGCACAATGATTTGATAGCAATTTAAAGCAGCTGTGATTTTTGCTGACAATTAAATCTCTTTTAAATAATCCTGAGTGTAATGCACAGCATGAAAAACTTGATGATTTTCTTCTACTAGATAATTTTTCATATGGTTTTGATCCACTGCTCAACTTTCTAAAGTGTGAAATTTCATATTTATTTCCTCGGGTATTTTGACTGCAGTTACCAGAATCTACATCACCTTCAGAACCAGAGCTAATACTGTTATCATGTGAAGCTGTAGATGGCGATGACTTCAAACTGGTTTTATTAGCACTTTTCACTCGTACAGGACTTCCTGCATATAGATGATTATATTTCAAAATACTTCCAACTGCCTTTTTTGTCAAATATATATATTTCAATTCAACATCTGGAGGGAGACTGCATAATTTATTTCCAACATTGCTAACTGGTGACTGGAAAAGATAAAAATTATACATGTGTTTTATAAAAATCATAATTAATCAGTAGTTTGAAAATAAACATCAGTTCTACCTTATGTTTCTCAACTATTTTAACATCAATGAGCAATTTTTAATCACTTCTTTGATAGCTAACTTTTAACAACTATATCCTAAAATGGAATTCATCACATTTACATATTTACAAATGCTTGATTTTTTAGACTTAAGCAGTCTTTTCTCCCAGTTACTGGGTTACAGAATTAAAACGATAAAATGCAGATGATGTGTTTAAATGCTCTATGTCAATGAATTGTCCACTGTCACAAAGGAAATGGACGATTCCTAAGTCAAATGTAGATTTATTATTAGCTTTTTTTAATCTGTTACAGTTATATTTAATGGTTCTTACAAAAAAAAAAAAAAAAAATGAAAAACTATATATTCTACCATTAATGCATGCTTTAGTCCAAAGCCCTGTTTGTTCAGTACAATCCCTCTAGCCATTTGTGGTGAATCCTGAGACATGAAATATAGCTACTGGGATACAGGGCACTTTCATTTTAATTAGTTTTGAATCTACAAAATAGACAAATGTTCCTTTTACACAAAACTCTTTTATTTTTACATCTTTTAGATGCTTTCAACACATCACTTTCTGTCTGTTGTTTTCTGTTATTCACAACAACACTTATTTCTAAAGAGGATTTAAATTTCGGTGCCTGAATATACAAGAAAGGCATTGAACTGCTTTTTGTTCTTCAACATTGACATATGGATGACTTACCTGATACTTTCTTAACTTTATATATCTTATACCAAAGAATTACAATCCAGTCAAGTTCGCTAGGATAATGGAAAGCTAAAACAAGTGAGGTCAATAAAGAGATTCATAATTGCTGAAACCAATACAGTCACACTATGTGAAAAAAATCTTTTTAAACTTATAAACGAAATTTTTAAAAAATACAGGTAATACATTAATGTATCTATCTATCTACAGATATAAAATATGAAAGAGAACTACTAACTTGAATTTAGAAATAGTCCTTTTAATTCTTCATTTTAATTTGGCTGCATCTCCTCCCCCCCTTTTTTTTAATTACTAGTTATACAAATCTAGAGTGTGTTCATCTGAAAACTAATCTGCATTGCATCATTATGTTAGAGTAGCAATGCAAATATTTTTTATTCAATCACAGTCCAAAATTTAAACAAGGGAAACCAACTCTATAGATACCCGTGTGCACACTCCCTTTTCCTGGCTTCCTCTCACTGTGCAAGCACGTGCTGCTCATTTTGCCACTTTTAGACTATGTATGTCAAAGAAAAAGAACAGCTAGACTATGTATTAATTACAGGAAGCTTAACCATATTACGAAAACAGACTTCGACATGTACCTAGAACAGATGCAGTACTAAACCAATTAATAAATGCAAAAGTTTTCTCTACATTAAATCTAGTATTAGCACTTACACCAAGTTTTGGTCTTTATGAAATCAATAGATTACATTTTGGTTGGAAAAATTCCAAAATTCCCCTGCTGTTTTTCAAAAGCTCTTAGACAAGTTTCAACAGTAGTAGCAGTAGTATATAGTAAATTTACTGGCATATACAAAACAGGAAGGTTATGATGCACCATATATATGGTAAAGCTGCATCATCTTGCATAATAATGCTAGAAATTCTAAAACTAAAATAAAGTAACGCAGAATAGATGTATGTTATGAAATGATGAAAATACAAGAATGTTAAGCAAAAATGGAACCAAAGTAAAAACACAAGATCAACCAAGATGGTATGCAAATGAAAAGTGGTGCAAGACATGATGGGGGAATACATGAAATTAACAAGATAAAAAATTGTAAAAACAGGTAAAATCAGCACACAGGGAAAAATTTAATAGGTATAAAGGAACTTATAAAAACATTTCAAACTGAGTAATGTAATAAAGTCCAATTTCTTTTAAATATTGAAATATGTTGAAGTCTTGCCCGATTATAACGTCAAGACTTACCCAAAAACCATTAAAATACTTCATGTAAAACTCATTAAAACAAGAACATTCAATTAAATATGCTATACTAACAGAACAACATTGCAGTTTGAGCAGATAGGTTCACTTTCAGCTTTCAAAATATAATTGTGAGCAAGATGAGAGTGACTACTTTTTAAGCGAGTTAAAAGAAGTCCTCCCTTCGGTTTCTAGTTCCCTTTCACTATTCCCTCCATTCATCTCATTCACTCACTCATTTGACACCTATTAATTTTTTATAAACCTGAACATCCCATAACAGATCATTTGTTTACAGTTTTGCTTGATATGAACATTATTGTTTACAGTTTTGCTTGATGAACATGCTGATATCTTTAAGAGGAATGAGCTGACTGGAAAATTCCACTGCAGACTTTGCTTGATACCCGCTAACTCATTTCCCTTCATTCCAACGTGTCCGGGAACCCAGCAATGAAGAACTTGACAACCTCGGGTGATTGCATTTTAGAATGTCAACAAATACAGGATTCTGAATATAGGAGAAAGCCTCTAGAATTTTAAGTGCACTCTTTTGTAATTTTTTTTATCAAATAGATTAAAAACATCAAGAAGCTGGATTTGTGTCTTTTTCCAAGATAGAATTTCAAAATGTTCTAGAGTTTGGAGATTTATGTCATGTAAGTCATCCTTATCAATTAGTAAGTAGAATCTTCTGGGAAAGGAAGCCACAAACGATGGTCATGCTTCAAATAAACAATCAAACATGTCATGACACAAAGCGATCTTATTCGGATAATCCAGTTCTGCTAATATATTGAAATAATAATGGATCAACAACTACTGCAGAAATGGTTCAAGACAGTCCACATAGGGAAAGGTAGCCTAATTTGGACCGTAGCGTTATTTGAACCGCTATGATACAGAAAGACTGATGATATTTGCGAGATTTGAGATAGGCATTTTGTTATACGTAGATGTAGAAGAGGTTAATGCAGTTATGTTTACAAAGAAACGCCTCATGGTTACATTGAGATAAGTGTTATTCGTTTGGCTAAGAAGAAAATCTGTTATTTCGACATAAGTGTGAAAGCAGTTAATTTGTCTAAACGTAAGTAATTATGTCTTATTATACCATCACAAAACTTGCTTATTTATCTACAATTTGCAATTATAATTTTTGCAAGGTTATGTTAGTTTGATGTTTCGGTACAATATCAAGCATTAAATATTCAAGTTTCCCAAGTTGGACCAAAAACAGTTGCTGAAATTGAACCGGTCCAATTTCGGCAACGATATTTCTTTCATGGATAAATTATAATTAACCCTAGAATGCTACCCTTCGAAAAACTTACAGGAATGCCAACCATTCGTCTCTGAGACGAAGTATGCGTAGCATGCTTAAAACTTATTTTAAAAGCTAATTGCAGAAATATTGCAGGACCCTTGTTTCACCTTCTAGTAGTGATCATAATGAAGATAGAAGTGATAATGAAAAAAAAAAACGATTTAGGACAGTTCTTGAAAAAATATCACCGCGAGCAAAGAAAAATCCAAATCCAACTGGCCCTTCATCTTCTTGCAGTACACCAAAAGCTTAGAAAGCAGTGGAAATAACAAGCAGCCCTTACAAATCGCGGTTATACCAAAACTAAAAAAAATCAGTTCACCAAAGTTTAACAAAATGCAGAAACATAACAAAGAAACTGGTGATTCATGGTTTTGTATATTATGTGAAGAAACCAAGGAAGAAGAAATGATACTATGCATGAAATACAAGTATCATATAAGCTTGGATACATACTCAGTGTGCTGGAGTTAGTGCTGCAATTAAAAGGTTCTTCTGTTATAATTGCCGTTAAGAAAACTCATGGTCCAATTTAGGAAACTAGCGGTCCAAATAAGGAAACCGGTTTCCTAAATTGAACCGATGACATGATTTTTTTAAATTCATTTTTCACTGTTATAAATAATTTTTAAAATTTAATAAATGGTTCTATTTTGAAGGTACACTTAGTGAGTATATTTTCTAATACTTAATTTTTATTGGCACTTCTTCCGTCCTTCTATATAGTGAAAAATACAAAATGGTCCAAATTAGGCTACTCTTCCCTACAGAGGTTCAACAGATGTTCTAAATGTTCCAAAACATATTTGCAGAGCCTGATGGTGAATATGATAAAGTTTGAATGGCACAGAAGACCTTATCAAGCCATAAACCATAGAACCATATTCCAATTAACAGCTGATCAGAGCCCTACTGCAATGATCCACCCCCCAGAATGTATTGGACAGGATTTTTAGCTCTATTTAATCCAAAATATCCCTGTCATGTATTTGTAGGTGCATGTAAAGAAGCTGTTCGTGCAGTTTCAAAATAAGAGCACTCAGATGGTAATCTAAACTCTATAGCTTTCCATTCTTGAAAATTAAGATCTTACGAACAAAATTATGCAATTACTGAATTGGAATTGTTAGCAATTATAGATGCAAAGATAAATTTTATAATTATTTGCATAGAAATCCTTTTACTGTGATCATGCTATTTTATTTTGTCTAAAGAATATAAAATATCTTACAGGTAATTATTTTGATGGTCTTTAAAATTATCCATGTATGATTTTGATATAAAATATAAAAAACGGTTCTACTAATGTTGAAGCTGATATGTTAACTATGAATCCTATTTGTCAGCATTTGTGTGTTCAAACTAATTTATTATCAGTAAAAGAATTTGAAGATCCTCAAAATTTTGATAATGTTTGTAATCCCATGTTTAAGAAAATTAATTGTGTGTTAACTAAAGAAATAAGGGCTGTATAAAATTGTAATACAAACACTACTTCATACTAAATTATCGTATATATCTAAATATAAGATGATTCCTGAATACGCCAAAAAGTGTTTTTTTCTTTAAAAATTTACCCAATATAAGCTGAAATGGAAGGAAAAAAAAAAAAAAAAACCATGTTACGTTCAAATATGAAGCCATGAGGGCAAAAATGTTGTAAAGCAGGCAAA